GTTAATTCGAAGGATTTACGAAGAGCCATAACGTTCATAATCGTCGGTTATCGTGGCCCAAGAATGCTATAGGAATTTCTGAAACGTTTTCTTTGTGCCATTCGACTGAAACTGATTGGACGTGGCATTGATAGATAATGACAGTAAATAAAAAAATAAATGTCAGTAGTGATTTCTTCTATAAACACTGTCATAACTGGGTGACGAGTTAACGCGAAAAAAATAAAACAGTAAAGATTGTACACCGTTGTGGAATTCAATTTTTCATCGAACAGCCCCAAGTGTGATCGTAACAGCGTGGCAGAACATGTCCTCGAGGACAAAATGACGGTTTATTTTCGTATCGCGTTCCGCATCGCGACACGTCGCAGCCCCAAGATGGTCGACAGTGTCAATCGATGATAAATCGATGTACACGCCGACACTTTTCAAGCATGTGTAACATCTTGTTAGAGCACATCTGTAGATGCTAAGATGGACGACGTTGTTTCGAGCAACAAAACTGAAATTCTTGAAAAGCGCGCCCAAATCTTGACAACGAGTCCGATCAATACGAAACTCGTTCACTTGCTCTGCATTGCACGATTAAATGCCTGGAATTATTTTTCTGCAATTGTAACCGACAATTGAATCGGGAAAAATTGATATACTTGTTTACTTTCCCTGTTTTGCACGATTAAATGCTTCGAATTATTTTTCTGCAATTCTAACCGATGATCCCTAAAAAAACAGAGACAGAATGATCCAATGCCTTTAAAAAATCCCTGTTTCGAGCAACTGCCTAGGTTTGTACTTAGGTCCAGTACTGGTGAATGGTACAATGGGAGACTCAAGGTTGCAAACAGAAAATTGAATCGGGAAAAATTGAATCTGACAAGACACACGCGATGTTGCCTGACAGCAACGGCCAAGTGATGCGAGGTTAACGAAGCCCCGGTAACAAGACGCTCGTAAAATCGTGGCGTACCTTCTCGGGGCGTCCGCGAAATAATTAAATTCGACCGGCGTGGCGGCCGTTGCGTTATGTAAAAATTTCATTTCACCGTGGGTTGTAATTAGAGCCGAGCGTCAGCCTCTCCCCCGTAGATACTGACCGATCGCCGCCATTACGTAAACGCGCGCGAAATTACAATGACAGTATTTCATCCTCGCCGCGGCGAGCTGTCGGAGGTAATGATAATTACTTCTCTTAATAATTTAATAGCCTGCGCCGTAATAATCGCGTCTCGGCTCGCGCGGAGTTTGGGAGCCGGTTTCTACGAGCGCCTCGGCTGTCGGGAAAACATGCAAAAATTCGCGCAGGCGTTTCTATCTTGATCTAATTGCGGCCGTGATAAAATTGAAACCCGACTCAAAGTGCCGATTTTCTGCAAGATACACGACGCGTCGATCCGCACCTGTGGTTTAACGCCGTGTTTCTCGACATTTTTCAGCTCGCGTTCCCCGTACGAGCGTTATCTCCTCTCCTGATTTCTATTGGTAAAAATTGTTTATTTACCACCTGTAACCACCATTTTTGCGCTCTTAACCCTTTGTGCATAAATTGCAAGCCAAATTCCAGGGAATAAATATTTATTTTATAAAAATAAAAATTTACTTTTAGCTGCCCTTAGCCTTTGCTTTGTTTCTAAATAATGAGAATAACAATAAAATTGTGGATTAAGAAATGTTGTGGATTTTGCGTGCAGTTCGGAAAGAATGCCGCCTTGTTAATGCACGCGTGGTCGCTGCCAGACACGTGTAAACATCGAGAGGATGCACCGAAGGGGGTCGTAATTTACTGCACGATTTTCAAGGAGCTGTCTAAATTTATCATACGCAAGAACATTGGACCGTGCATCAAATTTCATTGCATGGCTATGGAAGTTTGACAAGGTGTGACGGGCTTCCAGCACGCGTCGACGCGATGCTGTGGCCCCACATGCGTATGCCTCCCGGTGCATTCTTTCGCCGATCCAACCCCTTCGTTCACTTTAATGCGTTTATCACGTTAGGCGCGACGATTATGGTCTTCAAACTTGCGACTGGGAATCGCAATTTTGACCAATGATACTCGCAATTTATTATTTTCGGAATCCCTCAAAGAATCTTCACGTCAAACACGTGGTCTTGTCACGTATTGCGTGTAACTTGATCCAAGAAAACGTTTGGAAAATAAAGATTAACTAGTCAATATCCTTCTTGAATTTTGAAAATAATATTTAAGTGGACTATTAATCTCAATTGAATCATTTTACTTAATGTTGATTTTTACCAAATTGGTAAATAGAAATCAACTTTCCTTTAAAGCCTTTAAAAAATAATGAACTAATGGATTACATAAATTTTGAAAATTCTTTTCAATCATACACGTGTTATGTTTACTTTATGCGTACAATGTCGTTGGTATGCGCAATAAAGACGTTAAATAAATAAATAAATGAAACGTGTGCACACATGACAGTGTAACGACTGGTCTTGGGACGAGTGGAAAATTGCCTTTAAAATATTGTCGACTGCCAGAAAATAATTATATACCAGCGGCACACGCCACGGGTAACAAAGTGAAAAATGGCCCCCGCGTCACGGAGCGTGACATACACATTACACGAATAAAGAATCTCCAAAGAAAAGTTGTATTTTTTCTGTATATATATTTTTAGAGAAGAACGAAAATTTTCGCTCCAAACGGGACGTTCCAACCCTGTGGCGTAACCCTGTAGCGAGTCGGTCGATTTTTTTACAACAGCCTTCGAGGATAGGTCGTTTATCTTTATCTCGGTTCGAATCTACCGGTGAAGTGCGAACGATTGAGTCTCCGCGACGAAACCAAATCTCGATCGAGGTGGTCCCTTCTTTTTGGATCCCTCGAGGCCAACGCGATCGCCTCGCTTCGTTGGGCCCCGTTGCGTGCCGGCGGTCGCTCTCTTTTCCTATTCGGGGTCGTCTTCTTTTACAAAAGGGGGCGCGTCTTTGTGAATATTGTTACCCGACAACACGGAAAGCTACTTTATAGAAGATCTACGCGACCCCTCCGGGCATCGGGGAGATAGAAATACGCGTCACGAGGGTAACACGAACCCCGTGATGATAAAGTCGCAATCTTTTCGGGCTGTGCCCCTCACGTGCACGGTGACAGGGGTTGGTTTCGATTACCTGGATGCAAATGAATGAGCTGTCAACAAATGCTAATGCCCCCGGCGGTGGTTCCTCGGTCGTGGAACGCCGGGTTACGGCCAGCGATCGTTAAAGAACTGTTTCCGTGCGTTTTTACGGAACGCGAACTCGAACATAAATAAGCTATTATTGGTCCAGATTGAGTTTCGATCGGTGACCGTTGTTGGATACTTTACTGGCTCGTTTTAATTTATGCAGCCAGTCGCATAGAGTTTTCGATCGGACGCGCGATAACGGGAAGCTGAGCGAAAGTAATTGTATCTTTGAGGTACGAAACGCTATTGTAACGGGTCTTCCGATAAGAGCGATCGAAAACTATAAAAGATAATCGAGTACTCGTTGTTTTACTTTTCAATGAACACGATTGCGTTTGGTGGAGCGAATACGATAAACTTTCGAATATATTATTGTTGATAATAACGGGTATTCATCCTTTAAATGCACAAATAAAAAACAAATTTGAAATGATGCGTTTGTAGTGCTCGTCGCGGTGGTTAAACTTAATTCAGTTAATTGTACACTTCGGAGCTTACCGCTCTAGGTAATTTAAATATGAACGATAATAACGATCCAGAGAACAAATTTAACAAATTATCGTGGCAGTTTACAAATACGATAATGCGATTAATTGGATCACAAGAGCGGTAATGAGATAAAGGCCTCGTATCGTAAAATACAGGTGGCCCTCTAGATGGAACATAAAATATAATTAATTCCAAATGGGGTGCATACTTGGCCAGGTAATTTATTATTCTAAATAAGAATAAGGTTAACTACCACTCTACGTTTCTCGAGAGTTTTTAAATTGAACACAAGTGATATACAACATCGGTAATAAAAGTATGCTGAAAAAGAACATACAAATAACGAGGCACTTTTCAGTGAATAGCATAAATGACAATATCTTCCGCAACAGCTATAAAATGCAAGTGGAAAAAATTAAATTAGTAGAATTGTGGTATTCGTGAAAACTCAGACAATTTCATTCATAACATTTAAGAATTGCCCTCCATTCCAAGTAAATAAAATTCTTCATTGTAGTAGTGTTCTTATGCTATTGTTCATAGCATACGTAATTACAATTTTTGCTGTAGTGCTAATTGGACATTTCAGTTATTAAATAAACATATGTTTAGGTCGGTAATAAACATTTTTTAACGATAAAAGATACTCGATTGCAAGCTGATTGTTCCAGGTTTAAATAGTCAAGTTTTGTCAGGATATTGTGTTTTTATAAATAAGAAACCAGTGTTATATAGGTACAGATCGTTTATAGTTTTAATGAAAAATTATAATAAAAATACAAAGTAGATATGGAAACAGTAATAGACTTGCATTTACTTTTGGTAATAAATTAAAATAATAATGTGAATTATAATGAATAGTTTTAAATGGGATATTAATTGTTTCTAAAAGTACTGAAAGTATTACACAGCTCAAAATAACTGTAAGTTAATCTTCATATTCCATATTTTTGTCACGACTTATCGCTAAATCTTTAACACTAGAACTACCAAAGTGGTTAAAATTCGTAGTTTCTAATAAAAGTTGTAAAAAACTCAACTAGATTTTTAAAAATTTATCGTGATTTTTGATAAGAAAATGAATATTTACTTCCATTGCATTATACATTTCTTCTCGGATCTATCGTTTTAATTCCATTGATACAAATAAATGCACCATAATCGTCGATAGTTCTAGCGTTAAACGATCCACGTTTATAAAACATTTACGCTCATAGAATGAATCGACAAAGTTTGTCCGTTGAAACCTGGAGCATCCAGTACACGAGGGTCAACGAGAAACATTATAAGGTCCCACAACCGCGAACAAAGATGTCTTACCTCGTTTGCCGTGGTCCCTGGATCTGCCCAAGAATCAGAAGGGCTATCGCGGTTGCCGCGATGTCACCACGACGCATCTCTTACATCACAATCCCCTTGTTTATTGAATTCATAAAACGGATGTGCACGCGACGAGTTTCACGCTTCCGCAGTCAAGCCGACCGGACGTCGCGTCGGAAGTTCGTCGTTTCAGTGGCACGGGATGCGTTTCACGGTCCTCGAGCAATGCATCGGACGATTTCTCGCACGGTTCCTCTCCCTCTGTCACTCGTGATCACAACACTGTTTCCGATTCTAGTCTGTCCCGGAGACTCTGGAAACGACGTCGGTCATCCTCGTAGCGGGGACTCGTTTCTCGATCGTTCGAAACGCTGAATCGCGGGTTCCTTTCGCGAAGCGTTCTCGTCCAGGTCGAAACAAAGACGCGCGAACGAGTCAAAACTGCAAGGCCAACATTTGGAAACTGTAAAGTGTTTGCTCCGCTTAACTGGTCCGGCGAGTGTTTGCGATCGCCAAATACTCGAAACCCCGGCTCCGTCGGCGGTGACTAAGCGGTAAGGAGCGTCCAGTCGGTTGATGTGTCTATACGTTCTCGAGCACATCGCCTCGAGTGGCCATCGCGTGCCCGAAACCGTTCGTTAATTCCTCTTCCGTCGACGTAGCTCTCCCGTTGCTCGCAATCTCAACGTGGGACCCAGAAACGACGCGTTCGTCCGCGCGTCGTCGGCAAATAGACGCTAATTAAAAAGACGATCGCGATGATCGACGCCCAGCGCGCTTCGCGGCGTAGCTTCTCCGCCGATCGACGATACGGCTCACGCGACGTTATTATTGAATCGGCGCGTTGCTCACGCGAGGATGCTGCCTTATCGTGCCACGGCGTGGCCGCTGCTAACGATTACGTGGCGAGGATTTATCGATCGGCTCATCATCGCCGGCGTTAAAAGTCCGGCGATCGCGGCGTCAAGATCGCGGGATCAACGGCGAGACCGTGATCGATCGCTCGTTCGCAGTCACGAGAAGTAAGCGTTCCTGCGCGCGGGCCGCGTTCTTTTTCTCTTTCCATCGGTGCTCCTCGTCGAAGCCAACTTAACGAAGAGGAATTCCTTTTCACCGGTCAACCCCTCCCGGGGCGTGCTACCGGTTCTTATTGTCCCATTCCGCCTTTATTATTCCCTTTTGTCAGTTTTTTCGAACGTTTGTAGCCGGTACGCGAGCGCGCGCCTCGCGCTTTTCAGACGGCGCGGGAACCACGGGCTTTTTATTCCGGGGCTGAAATTTGTATGCCGCTTCCGACGAACGTTACCAGCTGGCTGGGCCCCGTTTTCCTGCCCTCGGCCTTCGTGGCGATCGACGCAGATTATCGCTCCCCCGGCGTAATTAAAATTTCATGATCGATTTCCCCTGTCCCGCTGCGGACAGGTGCAGAGGGTTGTCTCGAAGTCTTGACATCGCCGATCTCGCGAAAATGTACTCGGTGAATCGGATCGAGTATCCTTGGAACGAACGATGGCTCCGAGGAGCGCGCCGGAACTAGAGCAGAGGGTAACTGTGCAAGGTGCGCGACGTAAGTCGGTGTTCAAGGTAACGCGACCACCACCAGCGACACGGAGTGACAACCACCACCACCAACAGTCGGGCACCGGGGACCGTCACCGGGAGAGGTAGGAGAGCACTGGCACCTACGAGGGGTTAGGGCAGTCCGACGTGAACACCGCGGTGCACATGGGAATTTGAACGAGCGGGCAGAAAGTAAAGCGCGTTCGGTCGAGAGGAGGGCCCGCGATGGACTGGCCTCGCCAACCCAAGTCCTCCTACCTTTGGGATCAGGTCCCAGCCTCTACGATGTTACCTCTACGATCCTACCTCGCCTCGGTTCTCTTTCTCTCTCTCTTCCTCCGCCTCCCTTCTTTCTCCATCTTGCTTGGTTTCCCCCCCGGGTTCCCACCTTTCTTGGTTTCTTTTCGTCTTCCTACGGCCACGTCCGGCTTTCTCTGTTCCTTGCTCCTCCGGTGGCTCTCTTACTTTCTTCTCCTCCCTGGAAACACTCTCTCGCGCGATCTCCTTCGCTCGTTCTCTACCCGCGTGCGCGTTTCGCGGCCGTTTCAGGCCCCCGTACCCTCGCTTTGCTTTAGTTTCAGAGTTACCTGTTGCCCGTTGCCCCCGAGAACCCCCGTGCGTCGTACATCTATATTCGACGGACCGCGTCATGGATCCGCGGTTAAGCGTCAATTTCGCTCTTGCTACCGTCTGAACGGCGTCTGTCGCCCTCGCGGATCCTCCAGGTATTACAGTTTCCGCCCGTCACGCGGTGTCGTCTTTCTTGCGGTCGTTCCCTGCATCGTATGAACGGTGGCAGGCGGCTTTTCTAACGTTTCACCGTCTGACGTAACCATTTAAACGACTAACTTTCATCTAGATATCCGTAGTTCTGCTATGAAAATAAAAATCCTTGGAGATTTTTAACCCCTTAGGCTGAACATTGCGTTTCGTTCCATTTGGTGAGCCTCTATCGAATCAATTGACCTCCATGGGCCAAATTTTTAAAATAGCATGTACTCTTGCAGGGCATTTACTTTGATATTTTAAGTTGTGGTGCTGTCAACTATCATTAACCATAGAGTTGCCATCCTACATTTTTTTATTATTATACACATATTTACATTAGTATTTCATTCTAGGGACCCGTGCTACAATGTTTTCTTTTAATTTCTGCTTAAATGTGTGTGTATATATATAAATAAATAAAAGTTAAAAGATTTTTCTTCTTTTGTCCTGGGTAATTGGTTCTGTACGAGTTTCGCTAGACAATTCTACTTAAAAATACAACTCAAATGACTGAAATAAAGAAAGACACTGTCATACATATACATATACGTAATATAAAGTCAAGAAACGTCGACATTAAAATTGTAAAAATTGTATTTTTTAAAGTTTTTTAATAACATAAAATGTTAACCTTATTTAAACGTGGAATGAGAAAAATCATGTTGAACGCATACGTTTCGAAAAGGAGTTTGAGAAGTTTTGAAAATTCCTGCGTGCACGTACCACATTGGAAAGTGTACGAAGTTGTTCGTGTACAATTCCGGTGCTATTAAAAGAATGATGTAAGAAATGATTCAGATAAATTCTGCGAAGTGTTACAAGGTATTCATTCGCCCATACGTCATGTTGTCGCGAGAACGGAACATCGAGCATGAATGAGTTATAATTCATTGTGTTAGAATCGATGAATTTCTAAACGTTGTTCCTTTCCGTGTTCTGAACAATTTTTATTTCTGATGGGAATTCGTTCGAAATGAAAGTGATAATGTTGCTGTTCAAACGTTTCCCTTGTATTTGTGCAATAGTGTTTATCTCGTCTGGAATAAAATTTCAAATGAAAGATAATTGAAAATAGAAATTTTACGGTGCTCTAGAAAGTTCAATTATATTCGCATGATACAGCAGAATTTATCGATAGTAAAACTATATGGTGCCACTTTAAAAAATTAAAAATGAGATTAGCTATCGAAGAAATAGTATTCTGACAATTTTTAATATTGCACTTTGTTGTCACTTAAGTGTTGATTAATAGAAATGTCTAAAATTGAAACTAAATTAAACTCGTGTTACTATCGATTTCCTTTCATATTTCGTGCCTTTGTCCCGTTTCAACTGTGCATTTCCTTTCTGAGTTATGTCGAACGCATTAATTTCGTCCTGTTTCGGAATTCCGTGAGACTCGTTTGAAAAATTCGCGGCAAACGTAAGGTTTAATCATTGAAACAATACCGCGGTTATGTACGCATAAACAATGCGGTTTCGCAGTCACACGTTATTCAGATAGGAAACAAATACAATGTCGAATGAATCAGTAGCCCAGCATTGAAATTACGCGGTGCGCCATGCTCGACTCCATTTATCTTCGCGCACGTCTACGTTTGCACACTACGTCGTAGAGTTATAGTGTAAAATGCAAATATATAGCGTACCGCTTTAGATCGCGTATCGGCTATTTATTACTTATTTTACTTTACGCTGTCCTATACAGAATGCCGGAACTTATTAATCTTAACAGATGTCTTTATTCAAGATGTAATATCGTGAATTTGCAATTCGATACTTTTTCGAACACGTACCGCGCTATTGTGTCGTAGATATCGTTTGAAAACGCTGATTAAAGTGTTCGAAAAATACAAAAATTTACGGCTTCGGGGATATCACTTTTGCAATCGGTTCGAGACTTCACCGATTTCACACGCGATTGTTTTTGGGTTTGGGCTTAAATTCTGGACGAAATTTAAAATTATACATTCGTAAAAAATTAAAGGGATAGGCACATGAAGAAATCTATGGTGCAATGGAAATAAATGTTTATTCGTTCTCTTCGTAGGGTAGGATTATCGAACAAGCTTCGTCGAAGTGTTCTCCAGTTACCTATCACTCGTTTTCACTTTCGATTTTTCAATTCGTTTCTCTGTCATTTTCGAGAGCTCGCGAGGAAAAGTGTATCCGTATCATTTCCGTCGTGTAACAGACCGAATGATCGATACGTATCCACGCGTGAATTTTCGATGCTATCTGTGCTCGGTCGTGATTCATTTCGTGGGTGGATCGGTCGATCCACCAGTTCGACGTGAGGCAGACTTGATGTACGAGGGGTGTGCCTCGACTCGATCCTGGAGAGCGAACGTCCGCGTAGCTGAAAACGATCGAGCAATCAGCCGTGACGAGGATCTCTAACGATCGGTATCGTTCAGCAGATACAGGAAAAATTTTATTCCAATAAAAGTATCACGCAATCGTAACACAAGTCGACACTACCAAAATCAACTCAACTTCCAAAGTTAAAAATATATCCTTGACCTGTACGATACTATTAACAAGTCACAGTTAATATTCCTAAGACAAATCTGTTCTTTTTTTGTGGTCATTCCTTCAACGAACAAATTTAAACAAAATTGAATAGTGTACGTTCGAAAAATTGCTTGGAATTAAATCGTACGTCAAGGAGTTAATTATAGAAATATTTTATTATTTTCACGATAGAAACAACCTCTATGGTGTCCCAAACACTAACACGTGGTTACTT